CTCACAGGAGGACAGGAGAGTCAGCCTGCAGCCAAAGCAGCTGCAGACTAAAGTGAACATGCCAACACTGGACCACCAGGGCTTGCAGTATTATGTCCCCCTGCCTCTGGTAAAAGCTAATAAAAAGGGAGAGGGAGACATTAAGATAGATTTTCACATCTCACCCACCTACACACAGCATAGACCCTATGCACACTACACCCCTCACACACACTGCTTCCCTCACACACACTCCCCCCCTTAACACACACTGTGCTGCCTCACACACACTGCCCCCCTCACACACACTGCCACACTCACACACACTGCCACACTCACACACACTGCCGCACTCCCACACACTGCACCTCAGACACACACACTGAACCTCAGACACACATTGTCCCCTCGCACAAACACACCACCCTCACACAAACACACGGCCACCCTCACACACACGGCAACCCTCACACAACTACAGCACCCTTCACACTCACACAGCACCTCTTACACATACATACACTGCACCACTAACAAACACACTGCACCTCTCACACACACTGCACCCTTTGCACACACACTGCGCCCTTTGCACACACACTGCACCTCTCTCTCTCACACACACTCACACACAGCACCTCACAGACACACATAAAAAACAATAGAATAGAAAAGAGAAAAAATGAAAATAAAAAGTACATATTTTTTTTTGTTTTTGTTTTTTTAAACCCTCCTTTCTAAAAAAAAAAGGTAGAAAAATAAATCGCACCTGTGCTTTAAAATTAGTTACTGTGGCACTGGTGGGCGGTAAGGAAATTTTACCATCAACAAAGATTAAAAAATGGGCGGTAGGTATTAAAAGGTTGACTACCCCTGCTGTGGATGGTCATAGTAGTGATTTTCATAGTAGTTTTTATACTACCTCAAACAGCAATAATACTTTAGGATAGTAATAGATTTGCTTATAATAGTGAAGAACCATAAGTGACTGCAGACTTTTGTGTACACACTTAATTCAGTATGCTAGTTTCAATCCTCTTTTTATTTAAAAAAATAATAATAGTAAAAAAAAAAAAAATATGTATATATATATATATATATATATATATATTGAGGGAGAAGATAATGATAGGGTACATGAAAAGAAGAATGCAAAGTCTTCTAAGGTTATTTGTATTGATAGGACAGTATTGGTGACACCTATATTTAAAACATAAAACACTCATTTAGGATTACAGGAAATGGGACAGATGTGTGACTAACAACATGAGCTTAAATTATTTAAACTCAGCATTTCAAAAGAGCAATCAGGACACGTCTATACAATAGCGAATTGCAGATAAAAACAATGCTACAGAAAAATTAAATACCTGGATACACGCACAAAAATGTAGAGAAGACTACAAACATGAGTAGATTACAACATAATATAAAACAGCCACAGAACATACAAAAAAAGCTCCACCAGGCCAGCACCCACTCATATGGTTTTTCTTTTTGGATTTTAATATAAAAAAGTGGACTGAGAATTAAACAGACAAAAATAAAAATAATATATATATATATATATAATCCAAAAGGAAAAAAGAGAGCACTCGCAGGATTTTTAACATTTCGACCAACATAAGGTCTTTATCAAGATCTTGCGATACTGAATACACTTTATTCATTTTTTGACAAATCCAGCGAGTGCTCTCTTTTTTTCCTTTTGGATTATATACAGCGCAGTTCAGCACCATGGTTTGAATACTATGTTGGTTAATTGTGGGCAGAGTACCAGATAACTTGTGTTTTGTATATATATATATATTTATTTATTTAAAGTTCAACGCATTTTTAAAATTGTTCATCTTGTCTTTTAATGTCAAATATACTATCAATTGGTCTCATGTGTTTAGAGTTATTAATTAAACCAGGGACTGTCCCGAAAATGTACAATTTTAGGTCAGCAAAGACAAAAAAAAATATTTGGAAATTGTTTCCAATTAGACAATTTTGGCCTAAAGGTTTAAATTCCCTGATCAATTTCTGACAATTTCCAATTAAGTGATTAGCACTTATGTCTCTGACAGTAGTAACAGTGATATAGTTTACTATATATATATACTATAATCTTAAAAAGTTTTTTTTTTTTTATTAAGTATCCAAGGACAACAATCTCAATGTCAAAAATTGAAAGTTCAATAAATGACATTTTTGTGAAAATCTATTCCACTGTGTGTAATATGCCTTAGGTGCATCTGATTGTAAAGAACATCTAGCATGTTTCAACACCGTCATGTCTCCTGGTTTCACTGCCCGACAGAATATGTTCTGAGGCCTTGCAAAAAAAAAAGCAGGAGAATTGTACAAAGCCTTTGATGGAAGAGAAACAGCTGACAATGAGAAACAAGAGTGCATCGCTCCCCATGGAAACTCTCTATGCTGAAAAAGTATGTGTCAGCATTACCAACAAAAAAATAAAACATACTGGATAACACCTGTTGGAAATTGGAAAGGCTTACTGAACTCAGAGAGATTATAGTGTGTGTGTGTGTGTCTGTGTGTCTGTGTGTGTGCTGATGTATTAAAGAAACTAGTGGTGAGAGCAAAACATGATAAAACTCTCCACTGATTGATACACATTCTAAAGTTAGTGTTCAATTTACATAATTGGCGATGCCCATATTGGTGAGTTTATCTGGAAAGTGGCAGACCCACCCACTTCAACGCTGGCAGATAGCCTTCCAGCTGGCATCCGACATACAGGACCCTGCAGAGAGTGCTGCTGAATCACTTTCTGCATGCATGGACCTAGTGCCTTACTCTGTGCTGCCAAAGAACAGTTCCCTGGTGCACCCAGATGCGTTAGTACAGGAACCTAAAATAGAGACTGTCGCTGCAAAAGCAGGACAGTTGGGAGGCCTGCCGCTGAATATTCAACTCCATTTTCATTGCATAGTGCAATGGAATTTAACATAATCTGTTGTTGCTATAGCCTATCCAATTCTAAGCTTAGCAATCTGAAATTTATACACTAGACATAAAATTTTAGTGAACTAAAAATGAGGCTAAAATAGCCACGCTGTGATTATGAGTTGGAGAATGTTTCCAAAACAGCACTTTTGCCTGAATTTTGCAGTTCAGATTTCACTAAAATTCAGTGATTGCCATCTCCGCACTACTGCTATTATTGGCTATTATTCACTTTATTCCAAATGGGGTTTATTCCAATATTGCTCATATTTCCCGCACTGGCTTGTGACATTATCAATCAGATGACCCTAGATGAGATGAAATAAAGATACAAAGTACAATAATGTATTCCTGTTCTGTGGAATGACTCATTTATATAAATATAGGCCAGGGGAACATCTGCAGAGACTAAAAAAAGTTCTGTTAATATTTCTTTATGAACTCCCACAGATGTTTTACTTTGGGAGTAAAATGATTGTTACCAAAATGTAAGTAGGCTTCCAGTAAGTAGGCCTGTGAGTTATCAATTTACAATTTAATTCAATGTTATCTCCAATATGTAGATGAAGAGTCTAAATGTCTCAAATTAAATATTTTTTCATACATATATCAATGAAAAAAATATATTCTCAGATCACCCTGAGCCCAGTCTAACTGCTGATATTGCTTTATAGCATCAGCAAATTGTAAAAATCTCTATCGCTATAAAACAGAAAAATCAGGGCCATTAAACAAGCAGCCTGCAACGATTTTGGCCATATTGCGCCTGCACATACTACACACACAATAGGAAATTCTCTCCTGTACTCTGCAAGCGGGGTAATGCACCAAGAGGCACTTTTCTGCATATTTTAATGCATTTTTCAATGCATAATGTGCCTGTTTATAATGTATTGAAAATGTGCAGCGTTTTTTGACATAGATAATCCTTTTATCTCTTGTAACACAAGCTAACCTATAATTACTCCATGCTCAATGTTATCCTTTATTATAACTCAAACCTATTACTTGAGAAGCAGGCTCCATTCAATTCATAGGCATAATAAAAAAAAAGTGTTAAACAGCATGTCACATGCAATAAGGCAGAGGTTTGTTTTCAGAAATTGTTTCTCAGCCAATCAAATCAATAGAAAAACATAACAGTTGAGAATATAAAATATGCAACCAATTAAATAACTTATTTTGTTAGTTCAGCAGCAAACATATAGAGTAGATAACAGGACTAAGACACAGAGGTTAGGGTTAAAGGGAGAAAAAGAAGAGTCCACAGGAGACAAATATTGCATTGTGCTGTTTTGCATATAAATCACATAATACACGTTTCAGTGTTCCCCTGTTTGATTTCTTGGAACTAAGAGTTTAAGTGTGACTAAGTGGGTGACTGTGAATGGAGATGATATGGCAAGGAGAGAGGCAGGAGGGTTTAGAAGAGAAAGGGAGAAGTGCAGGAGAGGGAGGCAGTGATACTCCAGGCAAAGAAGAAGAATGATGGGGAACTAGTTGAAAGGCGTAGGGTGTAGGGGTAAAATATCCTGTTCTTAAATGAGTATATTCAGTGATGGAACTTCTCAAAAGGAACATGTGAGAGATGCAGTCAGTCTTTTTAGGCACATGAAAATACTTATGAAATTTCAAAATGAATGGGAAGACAGCATGCGCCAGATCAAAAGGAAGATGGCCGAGATGCACAAACATGCCAGGAGCACTGATGGTGGCCCACTACATGGGTTGGTGATAAATACATGGTGGACCTTTCTCTGGAATTCAATCAGCCCAGTCACTAATGCAGGCTGGCTCGTTTACAGGGATTAACATAAGTATTATAAACATTATTCAGACATCACACATGTGTGTCAACTGCCCCCTTTTCCCCTCTCTTCCCCCCCCCCAAAAAATATGTGTATCATTAAATCTTTAAAGGTTTACAGTTCTGCATGGGCCTCTCCCCCTGATCAATAGTTGAAAGGAGAAGCTTTTTTGAGAGAAATTAGGCATGTCACAAAGACAGGACAGATTTGAAATCTGTCCCCTTTCAGGAGATTTGATAAATACTTAATCTTACTCAAGAAGGAATTTCAGGGGCGGGCATACCATGAGGGCAGGCCTGCTAAAGCCTCCCTATTCAGGGCCTATCATTGGCTCACATCAGCTGGTAACAGCATGCAGTGCCCACAGGAGAAAGAAGTAATAAACCGTTTTAGAAGTAGCAGAGAAAGAGTCAAGCGGCAACCTCTGACCCCTGCCCAATGTAAGTTTATAACACAGTTTAAAAAGACATTATAGTCACCAGAACAATTACAGCTTAATGTATTTGTACTGGTAAGTCCATGAAAAGACACTAAACTTTCTTCATAGATATGCATTGGTAAATGCATCTCTTTTAAGAGATGCAGACTGGCCAGTGTGACATTTGGCGGCGCCCCCGCTCCGCATCCATGGCGATCTCAGCCAATGCAATGCCTTCCCTCTGGGAAAGCATTAGATTGGTTGTGATAATCGATTCTGATGATGTCAGCAAAAGAGGGGGTTCGGGACAGAGCACTGAGGAGGGAACACGGGGCAGTGCGACACTATAGTGTTAGGAATACTAGTGTTCAGAGGCAGACTGACAGTGGCCTGGGCCCCCAGACAAAATTAGCACCTGGGCCCCCAGCAGACCGATATACATGCTTGTGTAGGTGTACCGTGTATTTGATTGTGTAAATGTAAAGTGAAAGCTGTAAGTGAATATATGGATGTCTTTGTGTGTAGTGTTAGGATATGTGGATTCAGAGTATATCTGAATACATGTTTTTGGTTGTATTTGGTATGGTAAACAGAGTTGTATTTGTTTTATGTGTGTTTGTGTAGCATGGCAATATGTATAAGGGGGTATTTGTGAATTTTGGCAATGTGTTTGTATGTGGTATGCAGGCCTCCAAATTTTGCGTCTTAAAGGAACACAAATGTGTATTTCTGACATAATAGGTTTATATGCCCCCCTTAAAGAGGTAATTTACCTACCTTTTTTCCAGGACTGACCAAACGCGTGGTTGGACAGCCCCTGCTCCACCTCTTTGGCACAGTTCACCAGTTTAGATGATCCCAGCTAATCCAATGTTTCACCATAGGAAAGCACTGGAAGGCGATTATACACACAAGGCAAAACGCTATGCTGTGCTAATCGTCATTATGTCATCATAGAGATGCATTGAATCAGTGCTTCTCTATGAAAAGCGTTCAGCATCTCCATGTGGAGATGCTGAATGCCAGTGCTGCACATTTTGCAACACTGACACAGTAAGCACCACGGTGTTCCTACGCAGCAATGTAAATACTGCCTTCTCACTGAAAAGACAGTTTTTACAGCAAACCCCTGCAGGGGCAGGCTATACTAACCAGAACAACTACATTAAGCTATAGTGTTCCTTTATGCTTGTACGTGCAAAGGAGTAAGGACTGCAGAGGGTGCCGGGAGGAAGGGGATGTAGAGAGTGCAGGGGGAAGGGGCTGCAGAGGGGAGGGACTCTAGAGGGTGACAGGGAGTAGGGATTGTTAAGGGTGCTGGTGGTGAATATAAGCGGTAGTGGGTGCAGATGTAAAGGAGCTGTTGTGATTGCAGGGAAAAATAGGAGCTGTAATAAGTGCAGGGACTGTTGTGGGTGCAGGAGTGTAAATGGTGCTTTAGTAGATGCAGGGGAAATAGAGGCTGTAGTGGGTGCAGAGGAGGGATAGGGCTTTAGTGGGTACAGGGGGTAATAGGGGCTGTAGTGGGTGCAGGGAGTGTAGGGGCTGTAGTGGGTGCATGGGGTGCAGGGGCTGTAGAGTGAGCCCGGGGATAAGGGCTGTAGGGAATGCCTGGGGGCTGTAGTAGGTGCCGGGGCTGTGGAGGGTGAATAGGGGTAGGAGCTCAAGTGGGTGCAGGGGTTAGGGGCTGCTGAAGGAGCAGGGGGATAGTGGCTGAAGAAGGAGCAGGGGAGTTAGGGCTGCAGGTGGAGCATGGGGGTGTGGGGAGCAGGGGGTATGGGCTGCAGGGGGGTAGGGACCGCAGGGAGCAAGGGGGGTAGGGGCTGCAGAGGGAGCATGGGGCTGCAAGAGGGTAGGAGCTGTAGTGGGAGCAGGCGGGTAGGAGCTTCAGGGGGTTAGGGGCTGCAGAGGGAGCAGGGGCATCAGAGGGAGCAGGGGGTAGGGGCTGCAGAGTGAGCAGGGGTATGGGCTGCAGGGGAGGGCAGGGGGGTAGGGACTGAAGAAGGAGCAGGGGGTAGGGTCTGCAGAAGGAGCAGGGGGGTTGGAGTTGCAGAGGGAGCAGGGAGTAGAGGCTGCAGGGGGAGCAGGGGGTAGGGGCAGCAGGGAGAGAACAGAAGGTAGGGGCTGCAGGGGGACCAGGGTGTAGGGGCTACAGAGGGTGTAGAGGCCTTGGGATGATAGAAGTTGGTGTAAAGGTATAGGGGGTTTGGGTGTATAAAGGCTGTGATGGGGATGTAGTGGGGGAGATTATAAAATGAAAATATTTTTAATAAATGAAAAAAATTTAAATAAAAAAAAGTCTTATCTCCCAGGTGGTCCACAAATCCTCTTCTGAAGGTCGCTCACTGCCCCAGACATGCTGCCTGTAACTCTGCTCAGGGCAGCTCCGCACAGCTCACTCTGTACTATGACTGATGGTGTCACTTCCTGCAGAACAAGATGCAAGGAGCTGCCCTAAGCAGTGTTACATTGAGACAGGCACACTGAGGGGCAGCCTAGGGGGCTCTTTGGGTAGGCCCCTTAACGATCCCTCAGTGTGCCCTGCATGGGGGAGCAGATTTCTAGCAGCAGCACCATGTGGCCATATTGTGTTAAGCCAGCCACTACGCCACCGTACCCCAATATCGATGGGTCCTACACTAATTTTACATGGGAGACAAATTAAATAGTGTTAGTGCTAAATGAACTAAAATCTATTTAATTAATTGATTGATTGTATGTGAATTGTAAATAAATATCGTGCAAAATTAATGTAAAAAAAACCAAACACACTCTCCCCCGACAAAATGCAGCGTGAAAATTAAATAATTAATGTGATAGTGCTTTTATGTACATACCCACAGTGCATATCATATATCTGCTCTATACCAAACAAAAATAATTATTAAAGTTACATTGCTAAACAAAACCTCCTCAAATTTATAATTTCCTGTGGTTACCTCAAAAGGGGTATCATTACCTGGGGGGACAGGGCAGGGTGCGCAACCCAAAATGAATTTGATCTGGACTCCAAAATACAAAAAAAAAAGGAATTGGGGAAAACACTGCTGAGAAATGCATGTTTTTTTTTAGAGTAATTATAGTATAATATTGATTTTATAAACGTAAACTCTTAAATGCAATTTCCACCTTCTATTTAGCTTGTTATATAATAAAATGCTGAGTTTTATTATTAACGGCAATATTTTTGGTTTAAAAATGATATTTGATCGTTTTACAGTGGTATTTTAAACTACTTTTGCACTGGTGAGAGAAAAAAAATGTACAGTCATAATTCAACTGCAATTTTACTCTTTCACTGCTGAACAGGTGAAGAATAAATTATATTCTAAAAAACCTTACCTCTAATGCCAGAGGTTGCCGACCCATGCTCTAAACCCTCCCCTAAAAATTTCATTTATTGTCAACAAGTGAGGGATAAAACAAATATTGTAAGATATATTGATGCAATCAATTAGTTACATGCAAATATTCCTTTATTTGTATATTTAATTATATGTTATGTTATATATTAACCCCTAGTTTGACCACTGCCTGTTAAAGGGACTATGATAAAACCGAGAAGCCCCTATAGAGGAGTTATTTGTGCTATATTGGACATTTGTTTGGATGACAGGCAGTAAGAAGAGAAAGAACTAAGAGATTGGAGATTATGGAGGGTAACATAGTATTGTTTCCTGCATAGGGGTGATGGGGAAGCAATAACCCCTCTTTTAGCAGACATTCAATGATTTGCGTATTCTCTGATTCACTGCATCCCTTCATAATATGCCTTATATTAAAGAACAATGACAAGCAATATAATCACTAATGGACCTGCATACCTGAATCACATAATAAAAAAAAAAATAGAAACAAAGTAAAAGCCATAGTAATAAAACTTGGATCTCAAGGTCTGCAATCCTTAGCTTTTGGCTTTCTATTTTTAATCTCCTTTATTAACTGGAACCGATGCAGTTAGTATACTGCTACTGCAGCTGTTTTACAAGCTGTTTCTGCATTCTGCGTGGCCCTCCCTGAAATAGGTGACCATACTATAGTTATGTATAAAGGCAATTGATTCTCTGGGAAAGTTCTAAACATAAATAACCACAATGGAAACCAACAGGAATGGTCCTGCTAATTTCTTCACTTTTATAATGTTGGTTTAGGATTGCTACTGCTATCAGAATGTTTCAGATAAGCCCTTCTACTTAACACATTTTCTTTATAGGAACACTTCAAGCACCAAAACCACTGTAGATCACTGGAATCGTCATGGTGACAGGACTGCCAAGACCCTATTGTAACTAGTCAAAACAGGTGCTGCTTCTGCCATTTTTCATCAGCAAGGAGTGGCAGAAGCTGCTATTAGCTCTCTAAAACGTGGGCTCTTTAGTGCAACTGTCTGCTGATTGTTCCCATCAAATGAGCTAAGCCATCAAACCACCAGACTTAGCTCAGGCAGACAGCTGATGCCAGGTAAGAAATCAAACCATTCTAAAATGGTGCCTAGTGGGAGAGCAGGATACCTGTGCACTTGGCAGTTAAGTATTGGCAACTTTTGGCATGGGGGGGAAGCGGAGGGGGGAATAAATATGAATGTCTTTTTTTGTGCAAAAAATTCATAGATCTCATGGTGGATGGTTCTAATCAATGTGGAGCATTTGTGGATTTGATAAATGAAGGCTTTTGGAGAGTGTGATATCATATATCATTGTAACCTCCATAAGTATGACCTGTGCCGCTTGACTGAGCATTTACACAGATCTATGTACACCTAAGATTCCTTCAACTCCATATGCCACCAATGACAGCCAGAGTAATTTATGAATGTCCTGAGGCCTGTCTTATTTCAGACTACAGTTATGTCCCAGTTGACCAGTCCAGGCCTGGAGAACATTGTGATGATTTCAGGCAACCAGCCTATGCATACATCTATACAGTGCAGAGCTAGCCAAGGCCTTGATTAATGCCAGCTGCCTCACTCTTGCTTTACACTATGACAACAGATATGCCAATGCATCACCTGCTACTTCATTGTCGCTATACCCCTTGCCAGCCTACCCGC